CACACACACACACACTCTCTCACACACACACACACACACACACTCTCACACTCACACTCACACACACGCACACACACACACACACACACACACTCTCACACTCACACTCACACACACGCACACACACACACACACACACACACTCTCACACACGGCTACCACACCCACTCACCCGTTTGAGGCACAGCCACTGTCAGCAGACTGGTGTGTGTGTGTGTGTGTGTGTGTGTTTTGGTGTTTAATGGTCTATTTGGCAAAAAAGAGAGCAGCACACATTAGCACAGTGAGTACAAATACACACACACACACACCATATAAATGAGCATGTACTATAGACTTCTGTTGTTGTATTGTAAAATTAATTCTTATTGCCACAGACTAACACACCCTAAAAGTAGACTTTTTTTCTATTCAAACATTGTTATAGATTAATATTTATATATTATATATAAAATATACTGGCGCAGCTTTATATATATATATAGACGGCCCTGAATGTTTGGTCAAGTTTGGTCAGATTTAAACTCATTTCTAAGGTAAAATTTGCTCCCAAACTGCAGCTAAACAAACACACACACACGCATACACGCCCCTCCTCTCTGTCTGTCTGGCTCGACTGCGATCAGGAACAACCCTTGAGAAAGAGACGGGGGAGAGGCGGAGCTTTGACCTCTCATGACCCCTCATGACCCCTCCGGCACCCTGCGTCTGATCTCTGAATGTGTGTGTGTGTGTGTGTGTGCGTGTGTGTGTGTGTGTGTGTGAGTGTGTGTGAGTGAGTGTGTTTTGTTGTGTGTGTGTGTGTGTGTGTGTGTGTGTGTGTGTGTGGACAGTGTTTGTGTCTGGCTCTGCGCTCGTGGCTCACTTCACGTCCTCGCACCATCAGCTGTCTCGCACTCTTTTTGTTTTCATATGCAAAACCGGCTCACACAGACAATTCAGTCTAGACCGGCGGTGCTCAGGCCCATCTGCCCCGGGGTGTGTGGGAATGCAGGAGCTTCAGTGTGAGTTTAACTCTGGTGGATGTGGCATCATGCAGCTCCATGAGGCGGACGCTTCGCAGCCGTGTGTTCAGACGCGCTGCAGCGGTGAGTCTGACGCTCTTTATAGTGTTTTAGAGAAGCTGGAGGATCAGGCTGCTGGGTTTGTCTGCTTAATATTATTTTATTTCATTATTTTGGGTCAGTCCTTGTACTTGCAAATGTGATGGTACAATTGAGGTCAGTTTTCTGTGTCTGAACTTCTTTTAACATTAACTGTGATGCTGACTAAACTATGAAAATATCTGCGTATCTGCTATTCAACAGTTTGTGAGCTTTAAAGAAATTAATACTTTTATTCATCAACGATGCATTAAATTGATCAAAAGTGACAAAAGTGAGTTGAAATAAATGCTGCTCTTTTGAACTTTCTATTCATCTGTGAATCCTGAAAAATAAAATGTAGCACAGTTTCCACAAAAATATTAATGTGTTCAACATTGATAATAATCAGAAATGTTTCTTGAGCAGCAAATCAGCATATTAGAATGATTTCTGAAGATCATGTGACACTGAAGACTGGAGAAATGATGCTGAAAATACAGAGCAATAAATTACACTTTAACAGATATTCACATAGAAAACAGTTATTTTAAATAGTAAAAATATTTCACAATTTTACTGCTTTTGCTGTATTTCTGATCAAATAAATGCAGCCTT